AAGGAAGAGTGATGCAATCCTGTTATGTCCTTCAAAGATAAAAGGATTGGAAACATTCTTAGAATCTTGTCTAGTGTTTTAAGGATTTACAGTCATTAAGTTAGAAAGTCTACAAATGCTAGGTTCCTGTATTGCATTTGACTTCAAAAAAACTCAAGAACATCAACAGATTAACATGAGTACATGCGTCTTGCGTTGATGCTACCCAAACCTTTCTCAAAATCAGCCAGACCTTTTCTCCTTTAGCATTTGCAGTATTTCTGAACCAGTTTATTTTAGGCAGTGAAAGTATTCATGTAGGAAATCTTCTTTGGATAAAGTTATGCAGGTATTATATAGGAAGAAAACAAAAATTTTAACCAAAAATTATATATGCTATGATAAGTTTTATACGGAGATTAAGTCTCTTTAATATATCAACCAAACAATGTAATTAATTATGCATAATTTTATACATGGATAGATTACTCCTTGAGACAGCAACGAAACGGGCCTATAGGATTAAAGTGAATCTAGCTAAATTTTTTTATATTCATTGTAACTTTTTTGAAGCTTTTATGGTTCCTTTCTCTTGTTTTATTAACACCTAGACCATTTACATGGGTATAGTTACTCAAAGCTCAAAGGAATAGCTTGGTTCCGGATTATTGCAATGGTCATCAATTTTTTACCTATGCTATGTGTACTATACCTATAAAGCTTCACGCATCTTTATTGTTTCAGGTCGTTGGAAGTCTGACCAGCCTCCTACACTTTATATATTTATCAACTGCAGCACTCGTGACCTTTCGTACATTGAGAAGTATGTGGTAAGATCTGTTGGTATTAGAAAGTCGTGTTATCTAATTTTCACTTCCAAATTTGCAAGAAATTGTCTCCAATAAAATCAAACATACTACTGTACCAAATTGTGATCATCTTTATTCCAAATGTGTCATTTGTTCTGGGACATGTTTCCTTTGCTCTTCTGCTTACTCTACCTTAGAATTGCTTTGTCAATCCTTTTAGTATTCATTTTGTTTGTTTATTTTACTGCACTTTTAAAAAAATGTTTCTTCTCTGTATTTATTCAATTGTTATGATATTGACATCCATTGCATTGACGATTTGCAGGGAAAATTTGCTACGTCAACCCCAAGCCTCCTTTTCAATCTCGAACTTGACACCTTGCGGTAATAATAGTGATCCCCGTCTTTGATGGATATTTTTCTAATTAATATTCTTTTGATTAGTATATGTTATGGTTAATTCCTCGATGATATTTGATTAACAATAAATTTATTCAAAATTGCAGTGCTGACCTGGGAATTATAGGTTTTCCACCAAGGGAATTGCATTATCAGTTTCTTTCTCAATTCACCCCCGTCTTTTATATTCGAACAAGAGAGTACTCAAAGGTGACAATTTTGTGATCTTGGTTTCATCTATATTATATCGACCTTGTAATTCTGTAATGCATAATTTCGTTTTTTCTTTTTCTCATGGAAGACAGTTGCAGTGGAACCTTATATTGTGAACTACAATGGAGCTCTCTTCCGTCAGTATCCTGGTAAGTTTTCATTCTTGTGGTTATACGCTTATTTAGGGGCTCTGTTACTACTGTTTCATTATTTCACTATATTTACCGACTTCCTCTTCTTGTTTCTCAATTGAATTTCCTTTTTTCTGATGTCAAAATATGAGTGCAGATTGTTTTCTTGTTGTTCACTCCAGTAGAACAATAGTGGAACAGAAATTTGAGGATAGAGTATACTAGTTGTTTAAGTAATTGAATATATGTGATTTGTAAATATTTCTGATCCTTCCAAGGTTATATGCCAAGTCTATATTAAGAGTGTAAAAAAGATCTGATCCTAGGAACTATCGTCATAAAATGAGGTGAGAGAAGAGAATGTAGATTAGGACGATCTACTGTCAAATAAATTCTTTGCTTGTTATAGTTATTTGTGGAACTCCACAATATTAAGAATAACTTCCCTTTTAAGAAAATTCAAATCCTCTAAATGAAACTGAAGTATTTGAAACTAGATATTTATAACATCACTTAAGAGTAATCGATGTAACATCTTTTTGTTTCATTAGAAGATTCTATGTCGTTTCTGATATTCAGGCTTCAGCACAGGTACTTCTGTAAGATTGCGTATGCACCAATATGGAATACCGACAACCTTTAGCTTTTGTTTCAATCTTGCAGGGCCTTGGCAGGTGATGCTGAAACAGACAGATGGTTCTTTTGTTTGTGTGGCAGAAAGCGCAACTCGCTTCACTCTTAACGAAGTAACTATACATCTGATTCACGCAACTTGTTTTTCTTAATAACTTGTATGGTAAATAAGTTGCAAAAAACATGTTATGGCAGACCAAGGAAGAACTATTGAGAGTCCTCGGATTGCAAGAAGAGAAAGGAAGCTCACTTGAATTTCTCAGAAGAGGATACAAGGTCTCTTCACAGTAATTTTGAACTTGCATAGTTTTTGTGCTCATTTGTCTTTTATCCATCAACAACTACAGTTTCTTTCATCAAACTAATCTCTTTCTCATTGCTTATATCCTATGAAGATAAGTGAAATACGCAATAGATTTGAGAATATGTTTGACTGATGCTTTAATGCCCTGCTGCAGACTGCGACCTGGTGGGAAGAAGATATTGATTTAGAAGCATCCTCTGCATGGCGTAGTTGAACAGAAGAAGAAGATGGCGTGTGGGGTGCAGATTTATGACACACTCAGGTGGTAGAGGAACAAGCTACTAAATTACCAAATTTGTTGATCCAGCATTCCCTTCTGAACAATGCTTTTTGTATTTATTCTACTTTATAGTAACTTGTACTTCAACTAGAAAGAAGGTTTGTCTTAAAGAAGTCCCTAGCCATGAAAGAAAGAATTTGTGTAACACTTAAATTCTCTTTTAGCTCTCTCATTGTTCAACTCGTGTAAAGGTTTTCCACGGCAAAAAGAGCCTTCATCCTCTTTGTTTCTTTAATTGTGCAGCTCATTTGCACTTCTATCCCTATTTTGTGTAGCTAACCTTTTATTTATCAAAATAAACATTTTTTTGTTTTTGTAAGGCATAATTATATTTGCGTATCATAATTTATGTTAAGACATGATTTCTGTTTCTAAAAAAAATATACCCCACTGGATATAAGCTTGATTATTAAAGTAAAAATTTAAGGAATCTCATAGTGTAATTCAATAATTTCATTCTATCCCGACAAATTTAGTATTTACAAAAAATCCCTTAAATTTGTTGAGCCGTGATACATTAGACTCTAGTGATACATGGTAATTTTAAACTGTTGAGAAAAAAAGAGGAAAAAAAGGTACAGTTAATGTTGTTAATAAAACAGCTAAATTTACGGTAACATATCATTAATCAGCATAAAATCAGCACTTAATTGGATATTAATTTCAAATTTTGAAAAACAAAGATTATATCATCTATTTTGAAAACAATTTTTTTGAACAATCTGTTAAATTTCGAACTACAGTAATTTTATTGTTGTTACAGTGGATTTTTCAAGATGAATACTTCGATTTTGATGAGACAATCTGG